CACTGTAACCGCCACCTCCTGGGTTCAAGTGACTCTCCTGCCTCAGCCTCTCAAGTAGCTGGAATTATAGTCTGGCTAATTTTTGTATTTTTAGCAGAGATGAGGTTTGGTTTCACCATGTTGGCCAGGTGGGTCTCGAACTTCTGACTCAAGTGACCCACAGCCTCAGCCTCCCAAAGTGCTAAGATTATAAGCATCAGCCACTGCGCCTGGGCAAAAAATTTTTTTTAATTATCAGGGGGTCAGGCCAGGTACTGTGATTCATGCCTGTAATCCCAACATTTTGGGAGGCCAAGGCAGGTGGATCACCTGAGGTCAGGAGTTCGAGACCAGCCTGACCAATATGGTAAAACCTCATCTCAACTAAAAATACAAAAATTAGCCAGGTCTGGTGGAGTGTGTCTGTAGTCCTAGCTACTTAGGAGGCTGAGACAGGAGAATTGCTTGAACCCGGGAGGCAGAGGTTGCAGTGAGCCGAGATCATGCCACTGCACTCCAGCCTGGGTGACAGAATCAGATTGTCTCAAGAAAAATAAAATAAAAAATAGTGGCGGTACACGCCTATAGTCCTAGTTTAGCAGAAGATTGAAGCGGGAGGATTCCCTAAGCCAAAGAGGTCCAGGCTGCAGTGAGCTATGATTGCATCACTGTATTCTAGCCGTGGCAGAGCAAGACCCTGTCTCTTAAAAAAAAAAAAAGTAAATAAGCTATACATGCCATGCAAATAAAGAGACAGAAAAATCATTCCATAATAAAGCCAGAAGATCAATGTTCTTGTGTAGCTGTGAATTTGCTATGAAGTTTTTTAGGAAGAGAAGCGCCAATAATACTTTGGGCAATAAGGACAGTCCCTGACTTAATGATGGTTTAACTTAACGATTTTTCAACTTTATGACGATGTGAAAGCAGTATGTGCTCAGTACTCTTCTTAACTCACAATGGGGTTACGTTCAGATAAATCCATTGTAGGTTTATCATATGCTAACTAACTATATCTTCAACTTACGGTGAGTTTGTCGGGACATAACCCTATTGAAAACTGAGGAGTATCTGTACTTCTGGAATAAACGAGTGAGTCCCAAATGAAATTTTAAAAGAACAGGACTCATCTGCATGGAAAAGTTGTGCAACTTTCAATTAATACCCATTTCATTGCTTTATAATAATAATTCATGGGACAAGATGAGCGTAGATAAATAAATAATCCCTTCTACTTATATGAAACAAATCATTTATTCTCGGTCCTCTTCTCTTCTAATTCTATATTCAATTTAATCTGTCCTTACAGCTTCAATTAACACTTCCTGCTTCCTCTGAAACCCGAATCACCAATTTCAGCTTCTGGACTCTAGAGCTTCTCCTGACATCTCCGCTTGAATGCTCCAAAGACAATTCAAACTCAACATGTTCAAAATGGAAACCACGATCTTCCTCTGACATTAAAAAATAAAGACCCTTCATCCAAACAGTTTTCCAAGCTAAAAAACTAAGTCATTTACTTTTCTGTTCACCTTCTGAGCCGATTGATTTTAAAGCCCTGTGAACTCTACGCCTTCACTATCTACCCTCTCCTCTCCATCCCTCCTACTAGTTTCCTACTTCAGGCCCTAATCCTCTCTTATCTGTGCTATTTCAATAGCAAGAGTCTCCCAACTTATCTCCCTACCTTTTGCCTCTCTCTATCCCATCCAGCCTCCAAGCCATCTTCAGGTTATCTTTCTTAAATACTTATATCTAAAATCCTTCACTAGCTCTCCATTGTCTTTAGAATCAAGTCCAAAGTCCTTAGCATGAAACTCTGGCTCTTCAGGACCTAGCACCAGAAGACATCGTTCCCCTCTTTTTCTGAATCATAACTTTTTACTTCCTAAGTCTGTAATGTTGTCTATCGTACTTCAAAGCATTAAAAGTACTTTTAACACTATATTTTTTAGAGAAACATCCCGCCAAACTGAATTACTCATTTCTTTGTTCCAAATGAAGGAAACTGAATCCCACATTACCTAGAAAGTTTAGTGATCCTAATGCAATCAGCAAGGAAGCTCTGCACTTTTTTTTTTTTCATCTTATTTCCAGGCACCCTCTCCTTTAGCCCAACCACCCATTTCTATACACTCTGACCTTCAGTGACAATGGACTACAAGACATTCCTCAAACATACCATATACTTTCACACTTATCCCTGGTTTTCATTCATACCTCCTGTTTCCTGACCCAATTTCAGCAAACTCCCATTCATCCTTCAAAGACACATTTAAATATGGTATCCTCTCTCTAACCCTCCTTCCTACCACATGCAGAATTATTTTTCCTCATTAGTGTTCCCATTAAACTCTACCTATACTTTTTTTTTCTGCAACTCTTCAAACATACCTAAATCTATACTTCTTTACAGCTTTTATCATGCTGAAATTGTAGGGACTTATTTACATGTCTGGTTATAAGCTTTTTGAAAATAGGGAAGCATTTTCTTTTCTTGAATCTCACACTTAACTGACCATCTAAGAACAGATATTTTTAACTTCTTAATGAAAAAAAACACCTCATATTGTTAAGATAATGCCATAACTGTCATTACTGAGGGACTGAGAGCTTAGAATCAAACCCATGTCATTCACCAGTAACAACAAAAAGAGTTCCTACATACAAACTATAATTAAATCATATCTTGGACATGACTTCTTCGATATATTGCAATACCAGTTTACTTTTTCCTCTCTTTCCTTCTTTTTGAATAAGTTTTTTATAGACCTCTTTTTAAAATACTTATTAGATTTCATTTATATTTCACTCACAGAATTTGAAACTCAGTATAGTGCAAAGGTTATAATCCTTGGAGGGTGACTGATTTGAATCCTCCCTCTGCTATCGAGGTTGTCTAGTCATGGCCAAGTTACTCAACCTCTCTTTGCCTCTTAATGAGATGATCATAATAACGTCCCTCATGTGCTGTTGGGAGGATTAAATAAGCTAATTACATGTAAAGAATTTAGAATACTGCCTGGCACAGAGTAGGTACCAACGAATGCTAGTTGATGTTGTTATTGTTACCATCCGCTTTAAAAACAACTTTTGCTTTTTCGGTGCTTATTTTCACCCACTTGGTAGAGTGTAATCTCCTAGATGAAAGGAATTACATACTGCTTTTACATAAATATCAGCTTGTGCCTTGGAATACAATAGGCCCTCAAAAAACAATGTGAATGTAAGGTTTCAGACCTCCAAGATCAACAAATTAAAAATCATAGAAAAATTTATACATGGAGTACAAGTTTAAAATTCATGTTTTAAAGTAGTTTCAAAACACCCATCCTCCACTGACTTGTTGAAACATGTTTAAGTAAAATTTCTAAAGCAACACCAAAAAAATTACATTCACTAGTAACTCTCCCTCTACTACTTCATTTATTTTGATCTTGGTATCCAGTGGTCTAAAATTCTCACCTATAACTTAAGCCTCACTACAAATCCTTTAAAAGTAATATATTTTTCAGCTTTTGAAAACTGCTTATTCTCAATAAGAAAAATGAATATTCTTCCTTTATTGCTGCATTTAAAAAATGTACTACCACATTCAACACACACATACACCAACTAATGAAAGACTAAGACACATAATTACTACATTTCCTGGTTTCTGCCTGGCAAACTCAGAACAGGCCTACAAGTATCCCCAGCAAAAGCCCACGGATTACAAAACTGTCATTTTCCTTTTTATTTCCCATCTCCCCCCTAAAATCCCTCACACACATACCCACAGTAAATAACAAAAACGTCAATAATAAAGGCTGCATGAAAAAATATGGCCATATATTAACCATATTTTGAAGGATTTAAATCTTCCTGTAAGCAGCCCCTCAATTCACAAAAACAAATGAAAGTCTTGATTTGGAGCAATATCCCAAACTTCCTTTCGCAGGTATCTTAAACGACAACTATTTAGCTAAGGCAAAGAAGTAGATTATTTGATTGCTACAGACCTCATGGTAAATGATTCAGCAAGTGTATAGATAACACCACTGTGCTAGTCTAGAAAATTTCAGCAATCAGTGAAAAATAGAACACACTCAAACAATGGTGACTTTGTGTAAAAAGAGTGTAAACAACTTATTTACACAGTAAGCAAGGATCTAGCACTTTATCTAAAACACTGCAAGAGAATCACACCAGGCACTTAGTAGTTGCTTCACAGAATATACATGCTCCACACGCACGTTCAAATATCTGACACTGTAGAATACTCTCACTCATCTCATTTGACCCAGAGAATACCCATAGGCATGAACGTGTCAGTTTCACAGTTAGAGAAAGGGACCCAGGAAGTCAATTCGACCGAGGTATCACATCTGGTTCCGTGGGTTCTGGCCCCAGACTTGAGTCTTTTGAGTCATAATCTAATCATCAGCTGCTATACAGCACTAGTTACTCAAATGCTCTTAAATGTTCCACTGTCATATTTTTAAATTAAAATTATACTTGACAACTTTCGGTATTGTGCTTATTAGATGCTGTTAAGAATCAAAACACCAAAAAAAAAAAAAAAAAAAAAAGGCAAAAAATTGTTTAGAAGTGCATCATCCCAGCAGGTCTAAGTTCAAGCTCACTGGCTAATCTTGGCGAAAGGCCGCGTCTCCCCCGGGCTGCGGGGCGCTCCCTCCCTCTTCCCCAGTAAAGAGCGGCGCCCCGCCGAGGGGTTCCCAAGCCCCAGAGGTGAGCGGCGAGGATATCCTCAGCCAGACCCGCCACGACGTGCGGCCACGAGAGGACGTCCCGAAGCCGAGCGTCCGCTGGGCCCAACACTCTTTTGCTCCTCCGGACCGAAGAGGTGCAGAGACCGCGGGGCGCTGGGACGCTACCTCCGCCAGCCCGGCTCGCACCTTCCGCGGACGACGCCGCTGCGCCGCAGCCCCGCGCCCGACGCCCAGAGGGTGATGCCAACCGCCCCGAGCGTCCGAAGTCCCTTCCGCTTGACACCCCGCTCCGGACCACCCGATTCGTACCTGTCTGAACCTCGACGTTGCCTCTGCAGTCGAGCTGGTCCCCAGAGCCTCACTCCGGTCGGCTCCTTCCCGCCCCCGCAGGCTCGGCCAAAGTCCCCGCCCCGGCTGCTGCCCCACCCCCTAACCCCGCCCAGCCCGGCAAGGCTCAGTTCTCATTGGCTCCTATTCCCACCCGTCACGCTATGCCCGCCCCCGGCACCGCCCCGGCCTGCGGTGAAGGGAACCTCAGTGCCTTTGCGCCTCAGGTCTGCGGAATGGACAGAACCTTTGCAGGACCTGGGTCACAGCCACGCTGCAGTCCCAGCAGGCGGGCGACCGGACCGGCGCTACCGTCGTCCGGCTGAGCCGTCGAGCCGGAGCTCCATCGCCCTTGCCTTGCCTGCCGTCGCATCGGCCCCCAGGCGACAGCCCTACGTTTTACGTGAAGGTTGACTCTTCGCTACTACTCAACAAGTTGAAGCCCGGCTTAATCAGGGAATCCGAGCACTGTTTCCGTGGCTGACCTCGTGAGCAAACAGTTGCAGTACGGTGCCAGCTTGAAACGTCAAGAGAAGTAAATAACTCCCGCAGCACCTCAGGCTTGGAATCTCAGAACAGGGGCGCCTTGAAACTCCCAGTGCCTGAGGTCAGCCCCCACGCCCTGTTGAGACACACATGCCTAAGCACTCCGCCTGCAACACGTTCTTGCCCAGGTATGTGCATGGCGCTGTGCCTACTGCAAGCCGTAACCCAGTTTCACTGAGGCTGCCGGACAAGGATCAGTGGAGCCTGTTTCCCAGGCACTCGCTAACCACCCCACCCCGCCTCGCCCTGCCCCACCCAGCCAGAGCCTCTTGGGTCTGGTGACCAAACTCTTCCTACATTTGTTCACGCAGAAGTACCAAAATAGAAGACTACCAGAAAGAGGTGTTTAGTTACGTATCACAGATGACTGTCATAAGCGAACTTAACCCAAACATAAAAGCAGCATATCTCAAACCGTTGTGAAGCTGTGACCTGTAGGCAGCAAAACAGAAATTACATTCTATGATGTGTGTGTATGGGGGAGTAATGATCATACTTAAGAAAAAAAGATCATGCCTCAATAAGGAAATAAATGTGGATATTGTTTATAGTAAATTTTGAGCACTCGTTTTTACGGGCTTCCCCCGTCAAAAAAAAATTATTATCTAATGTATCTATTTACTTATTTATTGAGACACGGTCGCTTTGTGTCACTAACATCGGAGTCCAGTGGCCCAATCATAGATCACTTGAAGCCTCAACCTCCTGGGCTGGAGGAATCCTCCCACCTCAGCCTCCCAAATAGCTAATGCTGTAAAGCATGCACCACCACCCCCGGGGAAATTTTTTCATTTTTATTTTTTTGTAGAGACAGGGTCTCACTATGCTTCCCCGGCTGGTCTCCAACTCCTAGGATCAAGCAATCCTCCTGGCTCAGCCTCCCAGAGTGCTGGGATTACAGACATGAGCCTCTGTACCCCGCCCAGAAATGTATTTTTTGACCTTTGCATTCAGGAAGATTATTTGGCAAAATGAGGCAGGTTGAATTCCAAGTATCACATGTGAAACCAAATTTGTAGATGTAATAATGAATTCACATGCATGTATTCTACTGCCCTCTCATGGGTAAAATGGAGATATACATAATGGGAGCTAATGCCCTTTGAAGCCTGAGAATACAGTGTTTAATGTAGCAATTTGTATTATTTTGATGAGGAGGAAGCCAAAATAAAATAAAATCTGGTTCTTTAAAGAACTTACAAATACTTAACAAACAAAACTTCAGAAATCAGGAAGATATTCTTATACCAGAGCTAGTACAAACATGCTGTCAGGGTTACACCTACGCTTACAGCTGCCTGTACAGAATGTGGAAGCTTGCCGGAATTTGCTTCTATTTTTTTTCCATTTGAAAGTTCAGGCTGGGCACAGTGGCTCACGCCTATAATCCCAGTTCTTTGGGAGGCCAAGGTACGTGGACTGCTTGAGCCTAGGAGTTTGAGACCAGCCTGGGCAACATGGTGAAACCACATCTCTTTTTTTTTTTTTTTTTTGAGACGGAGTTTCGCTCTCGTTACCCAGGCTGGAGTGCAATGGCGCGATCTCGGCTCACTGCAACCTCCGCCTCCTGGGTTCAGGCAATTCTCCTGCCTCAGCCTCCCGAGTAGCTGGGATTACAGGCACGCGCCACCGTGCCCAGGTAATTTCTTGTATTTTTAGTAGAGACGGGGTTTCACCATGTTGACTAGGATGGTCTCGACCTCTTGACCTCGTGATCCACCCGCCTCGGCCTCCCAAAGTGCTGGGATTACAGGTGTGAGCCACCGCGCCCGGCCCGGTGAAACCACATCTCTACAAAAGATTCAAAAAATTAATTGGTCGTGGTGGCCTCTGACTGTAGTCCTGGCTACTCGGAAGCCTAAGGTAGGAGGATCACCTAAGCCTGGGAGGTCGAGGCTGCAGTGAACGGTAATTGCACCACTGCACTGTACTCCAGCCTGGGTGATAGAACAAGACCCTATCTCAAAAAAAAAGGTGGTTAGTTTCTGAGATATTTCACAAAATTCTCTTTTTTACTTATAGCCACATACTCTATAACTTCTAGTTGTCCTCTAGGACAACTAGAGGATAGGAATGACATCATATTCTGTATACCTTTGGTGTTTAGAATAGTACCGGATACTTTAGCTATTTGGTCAATAATTGTTTATTGAGTAAGTTGAATGAAATATCAGCCAACACAGTTGTAGTGTGGAAGTATCATCTGTCCATTTGGAATTTCACCTGAACTTGAGTAATAAGCATGCTTCTTTTTTTTAAATTCTTTTTATAGTTTTTTAAACTTTTTTATTCTTTTTAATTTTCTTTTTCTCTTTTCTTTATACTGAGAAAAGTGCTTGGAAGGCACGCTTCTTAAAAGTTATATGTACATTTTACCTTGGTAAGCAAAATCATTTGAAATGTACCAGTTTAGCTCACTATAATCTTCTTGTCAATCACATCCTTAAAGCTAAGAATCCTTTTGTAAGGAAAGGTCCCCCTGAGTATAATAACTCATAAGCACTGATTTTCTATATTGGGGTGCACCCTCTAGTTTTGTCTAAGAAAGCCACTATTCACTATTCACTTATATCTTGTCAAAGGACTTTTTTTTTTTTTTTTGAGACAGAGTCTTGCTCTGTTGCCAGGCGCCAGGCTAGAGTACAGTGGCATGATCTCAGCTCACTGCAACCTCCATCTCCCGGGTTCCAGCAATTCTCCTGCCTCAGCCTCCCGAGTAGCTGGGACTATGGGCACGGGCCACCACGCCCAGCTAAATTTTGTATTTTTTAGTAGAGAGGGCTTTCACCATGTTGGTCAGGATGGTATTGATCTCTTGACCTCGTGATCTGCCCGCCTCGGCCTCCCAAAGTGCTGGGATTACAGGCGTGAGCCGCTGCGCCCGGCCGTCAAAGGACTTTTTAATGGTTCTAAGTGCCTTAAGCAAATTTTGTTCTATAAACCAAAAGTCTATCTCCCAAAAAGTCATTTTCTTGTATTTTTGCCCAGCTTTAACGGATGTTTTGCCTGAAAGTCATAGGGACTGCAGTCAGAGAAACCTACATTCCCACTGCTACCCTTCACCAGGTATATCCTCGTGCAGGTTATTAATCTTACTGCCTTTAGTGTACTAATTTCCCCAAAGTGGAGATAATAATATCTACTTTATAAAGGTTGTTAGAAGGATTAAATGAAATGATATCAGTGGAACATCTAATATAGTCCTTGGTTTATAGCAGGGACTGATAACAGGTAACTATTATACAAACTCTACAATGAGAATCTCACTTATATTATTATTTAGTTTACTTATTTTATTCTGTTGATTTAAGACCCTCAGCAATTAAATTGAGTTCATAACACCAGGTTTCATAGCGATAGGCCATTCGGATTTGGGCTACGTTTGTCCTCCGGATGTCATTTCCAGCAGGGCCCTCCTCCAGATAATTATCACCCAGAAACTTTGCTTTCTCCTGTAAGAGAAAAGGATGCAGAATGATTATTGTCTTTTCACCCTGGTATAGACAATAATTGCCTTCTTTACAAAAATTCCTTCTTTACCTTCGCCACTGACAAAAGAAGAATAATAAACCATTAAAAGCACTCACCTGGTGCCTCAGTGTTCACAGTCTGCTGAGGAATCAAGTGTATTTTGCCTCCCTTGCCCAAAAGCATAGGCAAGGAGATAGCATAATCCCTTCTGGCCCCTATCCATAGTAATGGCATATGATTTGTGGGACAATTTTTCTACATGTGCTTCCCCACTACTTTTTCAGTATTCAAGTTAGCAGACCCTGTACTCAGAAGGGCAGCCTCTCAAGGACAGGTCTACCTCATGAGAAATTCCGCACTGCAAGACACTGTTCCTTGCCACTTCACACATATCACAGGTGCTCAGCTTGAAGACTTGTGCAGCAATAGCATATTCTTCCATTAGGGGCTCCTGCAGTTAATTAATTAAAATTAATTATTAAATGAGGAAAAAAGAGTAATGAATTAATTAATAATATGCATCCTGCTCAGCAAGAATAATCAAATACCTTGACTTGACTTTCGAATTCTGGATGGAAAACAACAGTCCAGTAAAATGGGCTTGTATTGCCCAGGCCCATACTATACCTTGGTAAAGTGGAATTGCATTGGGTCATCTGTAGACAGTGAGATCATTAATCCTTTCTGAAGGAAATCCAAAAAAGGATTTTTGGCATACTCTAGAAATAGGCTATTATTACTTAGCGGTGACATGGCGATGGGAATCTGGGCTAAGAAAAACAAGTACTGTAACACAGGACTCTGAAAAAGAAAAGTGAAAAAAATATTTCAAGATGTTGAAAAAAGGAGTACAAACTAGAAACAATACAATCTCGTGGTCTGCCTTAAGCTTCAGCTTTCAACAAAATTATCTCTTGTTCTTCAAGTCCCTTAATAAGGAGAATTTAGGATTTTTTCAATGTGAATGCTATTTAGAATAAGTGTATTTAGGATACATTAATTTTCAGAAGGATCGAGTCACA